ATGGTCCTTAACATTCGCTGTAATTTAATTTTTTGTTTTTTTCTTTTCCAATTAGGCTTGTGTCATTGTAAATGCATTTGAGTATAACCATGGTTTACCATATTTATTTCTTCAAGTAGACTTATAATAGTTTTGGACAGTTTGTGTAACAATAAAACTTGCCGTTAATATTATTTGATAACACTAACAGTATTATAAAAACTATCAAAAATATCTACCAACACAACAAAATGGAAGTTAAAATAAATAGATAAATTACAGAACCTAAAAAAAATAGGCAGCGACATGAGGCAAGGGGATTTATTGAGCCCCATGCTGTTCAATTCGATCATGGATGAAATCATCCAAAGCGTTAACAAAGAAAGAGTATACAGAATGGAAAATAACGAAATAAAAATACTCTGTTACGCAGACGACGCAATATTGGTAGTCCAAGATGAAGATAGTCTGCACAAACTGGTCCACAGGCTTAACATAAAAGGTCTAAAAAGTCTTTACGTCCTAAAAGGCAACACGAAACTATACAAACTACTGTTGTTAATGAAGAAGATAAAATTTTATTTCGTCTTGCAAAGAATTCAGATATCAGTACTCGCCGATTAAGTCTGGCAATGGGGATAAGCCAATCGTTTAGCCCACTTGTTTTCTTGTAGTTTCTTCTCCTATCGGAGGTTGGCTATCATCACAACTATCCGTACCTTATTGGCGGCTACTCCGAAAAGATCTACTGACCTGCAACTTACCACTCTCTTAAGTTTCTTAGCCAGGAAATTCTTCGTCTTCCTATGAATCTTTTACCCTTGATTTTACCTTGCATTATGAGCCTTAATATCTTATATTTCGTACCTCTGGTGATGTGGGCTAAAGATTCCATCGTTCTTGTTTTGATATGCTTTATGACCTCGCAATACTTTTGCATTTGTACTCGTTGGCTTCAAGGTATTTTCAAAATCCTTTTATAGCACCATATCTCAAATGATTCCAACTTCTTTATATTATTCACTTTTAGTGTCTAGCTTTCTATTTCATATAACAAAGTCGAGAACATGCAGCATCTTAAGGCTTTTATCCTCAGCTCCAGAGGAAGGTCTCAATTAACAAACATTGTCTTTATTTTTATAAATGCTTGTCTTGCAATTTCAATGAATCTTCTTATTTCTCTACCTTGGTAATGGTTTTTCATTTACCCAGGTTCCCAGATATTTGTAGATATTCACTCTTTCTACTTGTTTCCCTCGATATCTAGGCGTCCTACTGTATGTTGCTTAGAATAAACATGCACTTGGTTTTCTTAACGTTCATTTCCAGTCCATATTTTATACTAACTTTATGTAATCTATTTACTAAGCGTTGCAGTGCTTCTAGGTTTTCTGCAAAAACAGCGGTGTCGTCTGCGAATCTTATGTTGTTCAAGATTTTTCCGTTTATTGATATACCCTGTTGATCCTCTGATATTGCTTCCTTAAAAATAGCTTCGCTGTACAGATTGAATAACATTGGGGACAGCATGCAACCCTGTCTAACATCTCTTTTGATTTCCATAGTTTCTGTAGCGACATTCCCTAGTTTCTGTATCGATTCTAACCCAATCTTTTTGATTCCAGTACAGATTGACAATAACCCATATATCTCGACCATCCACATTCTTTATTTTTAACAGTTTTACGATTTTATGAGGTCATACTCTATCAAAAGCCTTTTGATAATTTATAAAGCAGACATAGAGATCCTGGTTCATATCTAGTGGTTTTTATGTGAGAACGTTAAAAGCGAACAGAGCCCCTCTCGTTCCTAGTCCTCCTCTGAATCCAAATCTCATCTATGTCTTCTTCTATTTTTTTTTGTATAGCCTTCCATGTATTATTTAAGAAATATCTTAAGTGTGTGGCTTATTAAAGAAATTGTTTTGTACTGGGAGCATTCTGTCGCATGTATTTATACTAACTTTGGTAGTGTTACGAACGTGAACAGCAACCAATCTTCTGGTATTACTCCTGTTGTATATTCTTAGTTGAATAGATCTAAAAGTATATGCAGTGTTTCTTCATCAATGCATTTGTTTAGCTCAATGGCTATCTGATCTGGGCATACTCATTTTGCGGTCTTTGCATTTTTAATTGCCTGTCCTGTTTGTCCTGTTTGTTCCTGTGGTTCTTCTTGTATCATTCTATGAGTTTACCGTTATCAACTTTGAGTATCCCATAGTGTGCTCACTTTTTATTATTTGTTAGTTCTTTTATTTTTTTATGCATATTAAAGCTGTCGTATTTTCTGTCATACTTTTCTATTTCTATGCATTGATCTGTTAATTACCTTTTCTTGGCCTTTATATCTCTATATTAATTCTACTTTGTAGTTCTTGATATTTTGACTCATTTCACCCTTTGGCTTTTCTCCTCTCTTCCATTAATGCTAGAATTTTATCCATTTCTGTTTTTTATTTGTTATTTAGGCTGTGAATTTTCTTCAGCAGCCTTCTGAATATTGCTACACTTTTTATTGACATCTTCTGATATTAATATTTCTTCTCCTACTTCTGTTTTTAAGTTAATTTGTTGGATCACCTTTTGATGTATTTCTCTTTTTCTTAATTTTGTATAATCAAACGTTGGTTTATTTTTAGATATTACAATCTTTTTGAGTTTCACGTGCATTCTACACAAATAATCTATTTGACTATGTGGTCTTTGTTGTCTGCAGGGGATCTCCAAGTGTATAATCTTCTATCGGGTAGTTGGAACATTGTGTTCATTATTGCAAAATATTCATTTTGACATTCGTTGATTCTAACATAATACATCATGCCGTTTTTGGTTATAAGTTTGCCGGTGTCTGACCATAGTACGTCACTTATGTCTAGTATATTTATTTCCATTCTGGTCATTTCTTTTATTAAATTGTCCAATTTTCCTGGCTGATACAAGCTTCTCACATTTCATGTTGCAAGTCTTATTTGCCTACATTTGTGTATTCTTGGACGTGGAATTTTATTATCTAAACGAGGATTTTGCTTGCTATCAACCTGGAAGACCTCGTCTTTTACATGATCTTTTCCTTCCCTGCCGAATTTTAGTTTCCGGATTCCATGATCAGTAACGGTTTAACTTTTTTGCGATTTTGCCATGATGAATAACTAGGGATGTTCTGTTGAACCTTTAATACAGTGGTTTTCCCTTGACCTCTGCATTCTTCTGCCGTTGACCAATTTATTGGTTCTTCCGCAATTGGAGTCGATTTCACAGCTCCAGGACAAAATATTGTCCTGCTACCTACTGACTCATCCGCCCGAAGCCGTTGGTCGGTAAGCAGGGGATTGCTTATACCGGCAATCACTTGGTCCCTACCTGCGTTAGCCATCAACACTGATGTTGCCCACCTTCTACCACATGGAGGTGCAGATTTGGATTTTTCCTTCATCGAGATTAAGATCTTTCGGCATTTCCTAAACTCTCCAGACCATTAGAAAGTGACTAGCCCACAGATTAACACAAAAGCAACATAATTTAATATGACGTTTTTCTAAAGAAAAATTTAAACAATAGTAATCTGTAAAGAACAAATTAAATGTAAATTAAAAATCGATGGCGTCAGCATTGAGCAAGTCTCCTTCTTCAGCTTTCATTTATTCATTGTTGGACATAGGCCTCCTCCAATTGCTTCCACGCTTCCCTATCTTTTGCAATTCTCATCCAGTGCTTTTTCGCTACAGCTGTTATATCGTCTATCCATTTCCTTTTGTGTCTTCCCACGCTTCTTTTTGATTCTCGAGATCTCCAGAATATCACTTTATGAGACCACTTGTTGGTGTCTTGTTTTGCTACATGTGCTACCCATTGCCATCTCAATGTCTCAGTGTGGATTTTTTTTAATTGCATAAATTGAATTAATTGAGCAAGCAATGGAACTTAAATACATTAAGAGAACACTGTCCAGCTATGGAGACCTAAAGAGAGGTGAGAGATTAAGTACAAAAAGCAAATAGACTGACAGGATGCATTAACAACACTATATTGTGAAACCGACATACTAACACTGAGATGAAGTCAAGAATTTATATAAAGCCAATGTAAGACCAATAATAAATAATGCATTAAGAACAAGACCTGACACAGTTACAACACAAAGGCTATTGGGTATGGTGGACAGAAGAAGATTGAGAAGTACTAGAGCAAATACTCTAATAGACCGAAAGGGGAGTGAAACCATCGGAAGACAATGTAACATACACATCATAAACGAGTAGAAACTAAACAGTAAAAAGAATGGCATTAGTGTACAAGTAGAATTAAGAACACCGGTGGTCCAAATAGTACAAAATAAATCACCAAACGGTGGAAGAAATACCACCACTTTTTCAGTGGTTTCACCACAAAAAAAACCAATTGTCCACAAATGAAAACGCAGAATTCCAAATCACCCGTATGCTTGTTGGCTTTCTTTTCTGAAACAGAAATCTTGGCAATTTTTCTCTTACTTGTTCCTTAGCAGAGTTTATCCTCCTCTGGGAAGATTTCCTTAAAATACTCAAGGACTAAATAAATCGTTTGGGAAAACTATTCAGTCCACAAGTACAACTAATCAGAGGCTACAAAAATTTTAAGATATTGAGGAAGGTTTACGACCAGCGGAAACTGGCGCAATTCATGCACTATTATTTGGTTATCAATTGTCCGCGTTTTAAATTTAATGCGCTCAATACTAGCATTTTAAATTGTTTTGTTACTGTTATTAGTTTATAATATATTGCAACAAGAATCTCCCCCTCGTACATCGTGCATTAAACACACGTGAGCGACTCAGTCTCACCTGTCCATTCACAGGAAATACAGAGTCAGTAGTTGTTGTTGTTGGGCTCAGCTAAGGTCGAGAACGGGTCCACTCGATAGCCAGTGTGCGAGGCCGAATTCATAGCCGACTGTTTTGTTTTGGTATCTACGCAATACCGCGGCCGACCGTGATTTTCGTTTTGTTTTGTTCTGTGCTAGTTACTTGTGTCCGAAATGGGAAATAAATTGTGCAAAAAGAAATCGCAGGATGCTGTGGATAATGCTAGCAAATCACCCTCTCAGTTCGACAGGATTATCAACAGACTGCACGTGAGTTAAAAAAAAACTAAATAAGATGATTTTATTAAGATAGAGATGCGCGAATATTTGTAAACATAAAACCAGTTTCTTCGGAGATTACAATGATGAATAAGAAAATCGTTCGGGGGTTAGTCATCGTTTTGAATTTACTTTATAAGGTTAGGTTCGCAAAGAGAGAGGTATACATTACAGAGCAAAGCTAATAACTGGTTTGTCATTTTTATTATAAGCATAATATATTACAAATTACTGAATACTTATTTTAAGCGTTTCATGCATACAACTAAAATTACTATTAAGTAATTTGTCACTGTTTTGTTTACATTTTGTTGCCAGAAAAATGTGTTTATCATTTGATTGCCTAATAAATTATGTCTACACCTTTAGGATATAAATGTGTCGATTTTGCTTTCAATTGGGACATATTTGGTCGTAAATTAATGGCTGTACGGTTATTACTCTAAAAGTGATGATAGCCTCTTTACAAATATTGGAAGAAAATAAATAAATATTTTATTAGAAGAAAAAAGAATCAATATTGTCATAATCTCGATGGGAAAGGCTTCTGCTATGACCGATCTACCACTCACAATTTTAAACTAATTGAGGAGCATACATGCAAAAACTGATAAATCCACTTTTTCCAATTTTGAGCTAAAAACCAAAAATTTGTACAGCAAAATCCCATAACAATTTAAAGAAACATTATATTGGAAATAAATAATAGAAGTCATGTAATACAATTCTAGAATTTTAATATATGTATCATCAAATTTGAAGCGTTGGTTCCTCTTCCAGGCAGTCACATATCTCTCCTTTCTCTTCCTCCTCATCCTTGTCATTTAAACTTTTGCCATTAAGCAATTGCTGGTACCAGTCAAGTTTTTGTAATTTCTCCCGATCTTTATCGAACTGTTGATTTAATAAGTGTTTAAGCGATTTTTTTTCTTTTCGGGAATACCCCGAGTCAATTATTTTTCTGAGATGGTCAACTCAATATCGGAAAATTTTGGTTTCAAAAGTTTTTCAAAATTTTCCAACCCAGTGGTAAAATAATCGTTTTGGAATGATCGTATTCTTATGAATTTGCCATTGTTAAATTTTTTTATTACAATCTTCTTTGCAGAACTTGAAGCTCTTTCATATTAAACAATCTCCAATCAGTGCTTACTTTTTTCACAAATCCAATTTGTTTGTAAATTTCTTCATATTTCCTTCTAGAGAAAATTGTAGCTTTTTTTCTTAGAAACTTTTCTACTCTCCATACTTTCCATATACCCTGTCTACTGGCAAATACGAATAGCCCCTGACTGGAAATACACGTAATATTTTTGTTACTTGAACTGGAGCTTTAAATCTAAGCCAGAAGTACAGCAAATAAATAATATGAGAGTTTTTGTTTTGTCCACCGCATCCATCGCAAAAGAGGCAAAGGGTCGTAATATTATTGTACTCTTAATCATCATCATCATTGGCTTTTACAACTCTTCGTGAGTTTTGCCGCGTTTACTATTGCCTTCCATTGATTCCGATCGTGTGCTATTATTTCCCATGGCCTTACTTCCATCTTCTCCAGGTCTTCCCTGACTGCGTCTTTCCACCTTTTTCTAGGCCTTCCTGTCGATCTTTTACCATCTGGTCTTTCCCAAAACACATTGCTAATCAGTCTGTCGTCATCACTCCGTATCACGTGGCCTGCCCATCTTAATCTATTGGCTTTTATGTATCTTACGATGTTTCCTTTCCCGAAGAGAGTCTCTATTTCATTGTTGTATCTGCATTATTATTGTACTCTTAAGAATCCAAATAATTTACGAGTGCAGAACCTATTTTAATTGATCCCTTACCTGCCTGATCTTCAGTCTAAGTAAAAAAAGTTGGATGTTTGGACTGGCTATCAACGCAGCAAAAAACATACATGCTAATCTGCTGTGAATAAAACGCATAATTAATAGGTGTTTGTAGAAGAAAGAAAAATGTAATGGAATTTTCAGCAGTTTCTTTTAGCAGACTATAAAAAGCATTAGTCCTCTTTTGGTAGATACTGAATTCAGTACGAAACTCTCTTTTCTTTACCCGGTAATTTTCGTTCCAATTTTGAATTTAAGTCTAGTACATTGTAAGCATACATTGCATTGCGTAAGGTACGTGCCATGTAATTTCTTTATGCTTAGATCAGCAGCCAAATAAATTCGTCTTGCTTTCTTTCTATTATAATATCTTTCTCTTCCTTGTAGTTTACCAGTAAACTCTCTTATTTTATTCTTTTTGACAACATATTTTGTGGACACGTGATTTCCACCCCGATTTTCTTTTGGGATATTTCCGTCTGACAATGTTTTAGCAACGTAGTCTATAGATCTTTTTCAATATTCACACATTTCCAGAAAAATGAATGGCATACCTGAACTTTTTTCTGGCTAACTCTATTCGACAAGAAGTAGTGTACGGAAAAGTTACGCCCCTTGACTGCTCGTTTTGTTGTCGATCTTTTCCTTTCAATTGGAACTACTGACATGTAATGACACAATTTAATATCCTGTTTCGACTTACATTATTTTAAAAATTTTTCTTTCGAATGGCTTGAATGTCACTTTCAACAATGCTATGGCAGTGATAAGTACGGCCATTATGTTTGCAAACTCTTGTAAAGTTTTCCAAATGAGGATCGCTATCACGATATCTAAAATAAAAAATCGATTAGGTAACGAACTTAAACGAAAATCTTAATTTATTTTTTACCTGTTACCTTTGTTTTTGCAATTGCTACCTTTTAGTCTCACTTTTCTTTTTTTTCTATTTCCTATACTAATTTCCAACACAGTTGCTTCCATTGTTAAAACCTAATACAATCATGTTAAACAACTTCTCAATACGTAATTCATAAAAACATAACATAACCTCTTAATCCTTTCCCCCTTAATTCTGACAACGTGATTAAGGTAACACAGTCCTCTCGTTTTTAATTTACAAAGTACTACCATAGGAAAAGAAGTATACTTCTTTGTTTATGCTACTACTATAAAACGAATCCCGAAATAGCATAAAGAAACCTGCTATAAGTACCCACGATATAATGGATTTACATAATAGATTGCGAATTAATTATTTAAAGATATATCGGGCTTTACTTGAAATTTGGATTTATCGGCATTTGCTCGAACTGGTCAACTTTGTACATCGTTTTAAAGGGAAAATATCGGTTTTTGTTGGAATTTTATATTCTAGATACAGAGAGGGCTACTAAATTAATATGAATCCAGATTCAGGTTAAAAAATTAAAAAAATGGATTTATCGGTTTTTGCATGTATGCTCCTCAATTATTCATTGGTGTTAAATTTTGGCTACCAGTTTCGAGGCTTACAATATATGCTTCATCATCAGGTCCCAGTACATGAGTCCTTGTTTTAACAAAACATTATATCAGCATTATGGACTCACATTGCAAACTTATTATCTTCAGCTATGATTTTACAGGTAATTTCATCAAGTTTATCCACAGGTCCGGTTCGACTTCCAAACGGTTCCTATATTTATTTTTGAGGAAAACCAGTATCGAAAACCCTGCCCCACACTTATAGGTCGCAACAAAAGGAACTAGAAGCTTTATCGCTTTTTCTGTTAAAACTGGGTACTCTTGGCACATGGCACAGGAAATGGTTCTCCACAACAACAACGAATCTATTTAAAGCATCAGTCAATAAAATAATTATAGCCAGAATAATTGCCAATATTCGGAACGAATAGGCACTGAAAGAAGAAGAAGACTCTTGGCAGTAAGACAGCCAAAAATTTATCAGTAATATTTTGTTAAATATGTCTTGATATGTAGCACTCTTTATTGACTTAAACGTCAATAAACGTACTTTAACCTTAAATTGTATCTTATTGCCATTTAAATAGTAATAAACTTTGTAATGAAGTAAATTTAAATCTAGGATTTTTAGGTTACTTTATATTTAAAGAAATCGTTGAAGTTTCACTAACTGGATAGGTGTCAATAACTGGTAGGTTTATCTTGATCTCATCTTCATCACCCAGCCCTTTGCGTCCACTGCTGGACATAGGCCTCCCTCATTTTTGTCCACTGTGCTCTGTCTTGAGCACTTTTCATCCAATTTCTTGACATTTTTGAGATCGTCAGTCCAACGAGTAGAGGGGCTTCCTGTACTTGTTTTGTCTAACTTTGGCATCCACTCAAGCAATCTCTTCGTTCACCTTTCATCACTGATTCGAGCAAATTGTCCGACTCAGTTCCATTTCAGTGTGACAATTCGGGAAATAACATCGGTAACTCCTGTTCTTTGTCTTAAGTATTCATTTCTAACTCGGTCACAAAGCGATATACTCAGCATTGACCTTTCCATTTTCCTCTGAGCTATTTGTAGCGTTTTAGAACTTGTAGCTGTCAAGATCAAAGTTTCGGCACCATAGTTCATCACAGGCAACACACATTGGTCAAATGATTTACGTTTTAAAGATATTGGTATAACGCTTTTAAAGATGACTTTGAGTTTTTCATAGACTGTCCATGCTAGGTTTATTTTTCTTCGTAGTTCGCATCTTTGGTTCTCTCTTGTGATCTTTCCAAGATATATGTATTCTTCCACCAGCTCTACTTCGTTGTCTCCAATATTGATATTTCCGCTAGGTACTAGGTTTTTCATGAATTTTGTTTTATAGATGTTTATTTTAAGACCTACACTGGTACACACTAACTGAAGTTTATGTGCATATCTCCTTGAGGTTGTTCGAGAACAAAATTATGTCGTCTGCGAATTTCAAATTTGTTAATCTTCGACCGTCAATGTTCAGGCCTTTCTCTTCCCAGTTAAGTTTTTTACAAGCATATTCTACTACTGCGGTAAACAATTTATTCGATAAGGTATCACCCTGTCGGACTCCTCTGCTGATTGGGATATGATCCGTGTTTTCACCGACATAAGAAGGTAGAAAAAAAGTCAGAGTCAGACTGTGGGAAAGAAGGAAATGCCCGTCTGGGAGTGAT